AGTTGTCTTCGGGTTGGTATTGGGGATAGGAGAATAAGCTGGGAAAGTATATAGAACTCGCAGTCTTACCAAGCAAACCTGGGAATGATCACGAAATGAAGAGAAACAACGAGCACTGGGAACAACAGGAGAGATGAGTGGGAAGAAAAGGGTGGAAAGTGAAGTTTTATGCTGATGTGACAGGAGGGAAGTTTGATGAGGTTGAATGAGGCTGAGGTAGGTGAATAATAATGAGGAGAAGTTGCCTGCCTGGTTACTATTACATATTACATACCAGTTACCCGCTAGCACCTAATCAAGCACCCAACGAACGCGGACTCGGCCGGACCTTGGTGTCCGGTATTGTTGGTAATACTGCAGCCACTGCAAGCAACGCAACCGTCATATTACTACTACTCAAGTGCTAAGTTCAACATTCGCCGCCCCAAAAACGTCAGTCAGGGGGCCCTAGTCTTTTTACGGTATGGTACATGGACATGTGTATATTTGGAGCCAGTGAGACCTCGAATGATATCATCCTTGGGCAATGCCAACCCCCAGCACTAGTTAGTTAGTCAGCCCAGGCCGGGTTCCGTGGTGGAGTTGCATAACCTTCGGGGGGTGATAACATCAATGGCCCCTTCTCTCACCGCCCTGGAATCAACCCGATCTGCCTCACATGATGTGAATAACGCCATAGGAGAGTTTACCTGTTCATGGGGTGCAGCCTCGGTTCGCTTGGCAATTTAGTTATACATAGTTACCTGAAACAAAGCAGGCAGACATCAAATCGCATTAGATGCGTAACAGGTTTAACATAATTCTCAAACTGGATGTGGAATCACGCAACAAGCAGATTTATCAAATTTATTTTATAAAGCAGAGAATTTTATTATAAGTAATAGTAATAAAATTGTATTAAATTTGAATGATGTTAAAATTAACATTGTCAGATTTTATATTATTTTAATATTTAAATATTTATATTAATTTTAATAAATAATTATTATTAATATGTGCATTTATTGTGTTAATAAATTTAAACTTTTATATTTAAAAATTAATAATAAAACTATTAATTAATAATTAATAAAATTTTACTTTATTATAAATAAATATTTTAATTATTATAATTATTTAAATTTTATAAATTTTATATAATTAAAAGTTATATTTAAAATTTTTAATGATTTTAATTTACTAATTTATATAATAGTTTTTATATATAAATTAAAATTAATATAAAAAATAATAAATAAATAAATATAAAATATAAAATTATAAAATTTTAATTTTATAAATAATAATTTAACTTTTATAATAATAATTAATTTTATTTTATTATATTATTATTATATTATAAAATATAATTTAATTATTATTAATTTATATTTGTATAAATTAACTAACTTAAATCTATTCTTTTGTGCCAGTTAGCGAGGCGCCCAGCTGGTGCGCATCATGCGCTAGGCCCGTTGGCCGCTTCGTGGACTTCTTACACTGCTTTAAAACAGACGGCGCTCGATCTATAAAAACCCATCTCACGCCCTCGCAACGATCACACACTCTCTCCTCCTTATTTATTTGACTTTCTCTTTGCCTCACCCTGCCTCTCGCGCTTCGCGTGCACTGCCCCCTTCTTCTTTTCCCCCTTGCAGGGATGGTGCTGTCTCATCCAGCCTTCATCTGTCTTAATCATGCGCCCACAGAGTCATTTGAACCGCTGTCTGATACAACTTCATTGGCTTCTGAGCCCTTCATGTTGCCCCTTGCGATGCTACTTCGCTTAACTCTGGGGTTGAGGCTGCTGGGGTGTCGGCACTCATGTTTTTCTGTACATGTGCCTTTCACTGTGCCGCATCATCAGCGATTCCAAACAGCAGAAATTTTTTACTTCCCGATTGTTTTATTCATCTATTTTCATGTTCATTTTCATCAATTTTTTTTTTTCAACTCTTTGAAAGGTCTGCTCTTAAAGACTCTGCTTGTCTTGAAGCCTCTTTCATTGGTAGGATTGCATGCAGAGACAGAGTAGGCGGCGGCTGATCAAGCGTATTGAGATGGCCAGTGGGCTAGCCAGAGTGCTTGCTGGGTCTGAGTGATGTAGGTTGCATCACTCTTTGAGTCATCAAGACTGACTGTCATTGTCACATTTCTTTGTGCGGACCAATAGCAAAAATGCTGCATTTCATTTGTGCTGGTGTGTGCCTGCAGGTCAGACCAAGGCAGGCAGGCAGGCAGTGTCAGGTTTGCATGCTCTGACATGTGAAGGCTGCAAGTGGTGAATGGCCAAATGTGATTGGAGCAGGCCACTGGTTATCAGGCTTCAGATGGCTTTTTGACCAAGCACGGGACATGTCAGCAGTCTCAGGGGAGATCCAGGGACCAGAGGAATTCACCCCTTCACTCCCTCTGCTTCCTCTCTGAAGGGAGATGGGAGACCGTGAAGCAGTGGAACCTCTGCACTGAGAGGAGCTCTAAGGGGTGGCTGAGCCTTCTACAGAATCACTGGCACTTTGTGAACCGTTTTCTCAACCCGCGCACGGTCTTTCCTCAGGTTCAATTTCCGCTTTCCTTCCTGCTCCCCTGATCGCCTCTGACTCAAAATCTCCTCTCCAGATGGCCCTTGCGTTTCATGTGAACAACTTCAAGCTGTGGGCGCTGCGGACGCTGCGGCACCTCAAGCCATTCTCACCTGTGCAAATGCCTCAACTCTCACACTCTAGAAGCCAGAAACCCTCCTCCCTGCCGCACATTGTGATGTCTCTGCCAACGCTCTGCTACCCCGCAAGCATGGCCTTCCTTTGAAGCCGCTGGCTGAAGTGTGCGTGCCCATCAGCAGCAATGTTCAACCGTGTCTGCTGTTGAGCTCACACTCTCTCAATCAAGAAAGATGTCTTTACCATCACCCAGTTCGAAGAATCCTCAGCATGGAGTATCACCTCTCCATGAACCTGCACAGCATATCATAAATTCACATCCCACTCCATCCTGTGATGCCCAAGATAATATGTCTAATACACTGACCGAGCTGCCTCCCCTTACGTCAGCGGGCGTACAGTTTCCATAACGTCAAAAGACGGACACATCTCTCCAATCAGATGACTTCCTCCTCACCAAATGCGCAAGACAAGATATGGAGCGCACATGTCGAGAAAGGCGGTCGCATCCCGTTGGAAGGGGGAACGAGAAGAAAGGAAAGCATCAGAATTGGGCCATGAAAATATCGCCCGGGAGAGACAGCCGGAGTTTGAAAACTGAAAATAGGCGTAAGAGCTAGCTACCCCTCTGTCCACTATCTCTCCCTCTCTTCAATTATTGTGTAAGGTCTAGATTAAAATTGCACCCAGGTCTGTTGAACACTACATTCTATAAAGAACCGCCAACACAGAAACGGCAGCGACCAACGGGGGATGAGGAGGAAATTGAACAACAACCAGTGAAGAAGCGAGCTAGATCAAGCCTTCCACAGGGAAACAAGCGCGGTTCAGGTTGAATTAACAATCCAGAGCAGTTGGCGCTGGGTGGTTAACACAAAAATCCAGACATCTGGGTGTTGGGGAAATTTCTTGTTCTTTACTGCATTTGTAGCTTTTGACTCCGTGCGTAGTCATTTTAATAAGTTTCCTGCGTTGACATGTTCTCTCGAGTAATAATCGGAGGCTGATAGCCCAGCTTCGAGGACATCCATTAATCAAGGAGCAGCAGAATGCAGCGTTAAATCGGTTCCCAAGAGCGGATACTTTTTGTATATGTACCCCGTCCAGATAGCATGATCTTCGCCCTGATGAGTTGCTTGAAATATCAAGTATGTATTTCCGACGCATTTTTTGCAAAACTGTACAGATAAAAATTCAAGTATTTTTCGGAGTTTATTCCGATTACAATGACACATTCAACCGTGGGGTTATATATCAATGGCGTAGAAGGGCCCCCAGTTAAAGCAATGGCAATGCAGTGCGTCCAGCCGAGACCACGGATATTATGTCAAGGACATCATCCACGGATTTTATAGCAGCTTTTCTCCCCTGAGCTGATGCGAGAAATCAAACCCCGGGCATCAAATAAACCTCTTAAAACGCCCCCTCTCACTCTTCCAACCCGAAACCGAAACCTCTTCAGAAGACCAGTCAAAAGACCTCATGAGCCCGCTGTAGAAGAAGCATTGGTTAACCATTGATGCTAGCACTTTTCGGCATCCCGACCCCCACCGCAGCAGTCGTCCCTGCATCGACGGGAAGCACAACACCCGTTATCCATCTAGCGTGAGGCCCAGCAAGGAAAACCACCGCACCAGCAGCATCCCAACCGTTCCCCTCAATCCCGAGTAGACTCCTTTTGCGTCTAGCCTCCCGCGCCTCCTCGGATATCCCCCCACCATATATCATGGGGGTGTACAGCATCTAAAGAAAAGAGACAAAGTATTAAGAAAGGAACATCAAGTCAGCGAATAAGTCCCCGTATCAAATTTTCCTCGACATCCATAAGGGCGTGTCAGGGAGGGAGGGATGGGTGCCAAAATACCCCAGGACAGACACAATTAACCCTGATCCCCTCCGCAGCATGATGCGCCGCCATCGCCCTCGTCATATTGACCACAGCACCCTTAGCAGTCGGATACAGCAAATGCGGCGTGCCCCCCTTCAACCCCGCCACACTGCCCATATTCACGATGCTCCCCCTCCCCCCATTCCTCCTCATGGCAGGAATAGCATACTTGCTCATCAGCACCATGCTGGATACATTGACCTCCAGCCCTCTCGCCCACTCCAGCATGTCAACCTCAACGGCCGTCCCCGCCGCCCCGCCAATGCCAACATTATTCACCAAGATGTCCAGCCGCCCGAACGTGTTGACGGCAAGCTTGACTGCAGCCTCGCAGTCAGTGGCGGACGTTACGTCGCCCTGGAATGCGATTGCCTGGCCGCGATTGGGCTTCGAGGCGATCATTTGCACCGTTTTAGACGCCCAGTCGAGATTGCGGTCGAGGCATAGGACCTTGCAGCCGTCGGAGGCGAGGAGGATGGATATGGCGCGTCCGTTGCCAATGCCGTCTCCTAGGCATCCGGCGCCGGTGACGATGGCCGCCTGGCCGGCTAGAGAGCGCGAGGGCGGTTCTGAGGGAACTGTTTTGTCGCTCATGGTTGGAGAGGGTGGGTTTTTGGGGTGGGATGACATCACTAGGTAAGTGCTGCTGGATTCTTTACTTGGGAATAATCACAAGAAGATATTGGAGCTTGTTGGAATCGGCAGACGGAAATCAAATCATGGCTGTAGATCACTCGGCATTTAGATTCTGGCCGGGGCATTTCGGTATTCGGCAGAGTCGTAGCCGATGAAACGGTCTCCACGAAACTACGTGTTCAGCAGCGGGGTAATTGTTAAAAACACATTTATTTGCAGATGATCTTTGGAGAGCTGTCGTTAATCGCGATAGCTGATAAGAAGTGAGGCGGAAGAGAATTGTTACCTTGTCGAACTCTTTTACCAAAAAAAAAAAAAAAAAAAAAAAAAAAAAAAAAGGCAAACCCATCCGCTATTGCTTTGACTTCTTTTTATATCTCGCGGGACGATGGACTTCTCCCAGTACACGGGTCCAAGCAAGGAATGGATTGCACTGGCGGCTACACTCCCAGCGGAACCTGAAGGTCTATCTACAGCTCAATTAAAGCATGCCATAAATAAGGGGCGGGATGAAGTGGCGGCTAAAGCCATGGTTGAGGAAGGTCAGTTAAAACACTGAAGTGGAAAATTGACATGGAGGCTCATTATTGACATGGCGGGCTCATTATTGCCGAATGTGCTGATAATCTATAACTTCCTTTCCAATACAGGTTTAAAACCTAAAGTAGCCATCCGAAACCACACAATCCTAACTCGCGACGGCTCGTCGATCGAAGCGCGGAGTTTCCGTCCCTCCTCCATCCCAGCCTCTCAGCCGTTACCGGTCTACATCCATCTCCACGGGGGAGGCTTTCTCTGGGGCACTCCGGATTCAGAGGATGCGAACTGCTCTCGCACCGTCGTATCCCTCGCAGAATCCGGCCTTCCCGTTGTAGTCGTGAATGTCAATTACCGTCATACCCCCGAACACAAGTACCCCACTGCCTGGAACGACGCAGAAGACGCATTCCACTGGATCCACGAGCACCTCAACGAAATCGGTGGAGAAGCGGACAAGGTCGTCATGGGCGGGATATCGGCAGGAGCATGGCTAACGGGATCCCTAGTCCTCGCTCAAACCTCCGGCGCAGATAAGCGGCTAGCCAGCAGACCAAGGCTTCGGGGCCAGGTGCTGATGATACCCTGCTTCGTGCATTCGGATTTTCACGAGCTGCAGGTTAAGCAACTTAGAGACCCCAGTGTGTCGAGCTATGTGCAGGGTGCGGATGCGCCCATACTACCGCTTACTAGGCTGAATTTCTTCACCGGTTTATTGGGTGTGGAGGATGCGAAGGTGGGGGATAGACGGTTGAGTCCTGGGCTGGCGGCGGCGGAGGAGGTGAAAGGAATGCCTCCCAGCACCTTTGGGATTGCGGGCTATGATCCGTTGAGGGATGAGGGACTTTTCTACGGGAAGTTCTTGGCTGAGAATGGGTAGGTGATAAATTTGGTTCCACCTTTTCTCTTTTTTTTATTCCGGATTTCAGTTGAAGAGAAAATTCAGTTGCTGACGCACGATCAGAGTCCCGACGAAAGTAAACGTCTTCAGGGGGCTTCCGCATGGATTCAGGAGGTTTAGCCAGGATCAACTCCCTGCGGGCAAGCGCTGGGACGAGGTCATTTGCGAAGGCATTCAGTTTGCACTGAGTGATCCCGTAGCTACCGGAAAGTTTGAAATCATATCCGATTAAAGGCGAAGCGAATGAGAAAGAGAGGTTGGTTTGGAAATCCAAATATTTTCAGAACTCATAGACGTGTGCCGAGCCCAGAGATCAGACATTGCCTAGAAATAGAAACCTGCCTCCAATGGATCTATGCTGCACCCATAAAACTTCAACAGTTTCCACTGTGCTAGCGGGATCAAAGACAATGCCTCTTGGCCGCAAAGGTAAGATTTGACAACAGAGGGGGGGCTGCTATGCCTGCTTGACCTCTGCGAACTCCGCTCATCTTCCTCGTGGTGGCAATCTTTCAAACCAAAAGGGTCCGGTGAGTCACATACACAACATTCTGCTTAAACCCAGTGAATTCCAGCTTTCCAGCAAGCCTCTTTCATTGCTGTTTAGCCAAATGGATGACGACTCCGGTTGTTTGGGCGAAGTTTGGTTTTTTCTGGTCCGTTGAAACGAGTTGGTCCCGGATAAACAGTAAATGCAGCGCCGAACAAGGTTTGCCAAGCCTGCGCCAAGGTTTAGCGCCGGGCCGACCCGTTCCTAGCTCCAGGTTTGTTTACATGGCTGATAAATGTCGATAGCCAGTTGTATCCCTGACCATTCCCAGGTCCCATTCAATCCATTCAGCTCAACAGACCGCTCAACGGGGTAGAACAGCGGGGGTGGTGGACTCCCAGAACAATGTCCGCAAGGCAGCCATTCCAACCGCTGGGTATGGTATGATAATGATATGCTTGTGTCATGCAAACCATACCTCTGCTGAATAACACCATTTCTTGTCTGCCTCCCCATGAACCATCCAGAATTCCCCAATCCCCCAATCCCCCAATCCCCCAATCCCCCATTCTGCGCCTAGCTCTCTCGTTCCAAGTCGTCGTACGTGATCCTGCACAAAGATGTCTCATTTACTGCATGCCATGTTGGAACGTCCATATGTGCGCTGGGGATGTCAGTGTCATCTTCCGCATGTATAAAGGGGATAATGGTACCTGCTTTGTATTTGTATATCACTGCTCCCTCTATATCGCACATGCTCAGATATTATATGCAGTGTATAGTGGCGTGCAAGGGAGATGGCAATCGCTGTACCCAGCGACTGACCGAATATAACACGGCTGTCAGG